TTTTTTTCCTCCCTTTCTCTTCTTTCCCCTCTCTCTTCTTGAACTTTTTTCTTCCCTTTTCTATATTTCATCCTACATCCTGCACACTGTCTCACCCCTTTAACGCACACTTCTCTGCACTATTTTTCTTTCCCTTCTCCCCGTCATTTGTCGCTTCCCTCCCTCTCTCTCTCTCTCTCCCCCTCTTCTGTCTCTCATTTTAGTAAGTGGTGGGTCTTAGCGTATGACAGATTATCCCAAGTTTGCTTCAATTACCGCAAAGGAGATGGAGACAGTACAGGAGAGGAGGAAGGGGAAAACTTTTGTGCACACATTATATTTAAGAAGCTGAGGATAAAGTGCTATCTCTACCGCGGTGGTTTCCGTGCCAGTCTGCTCGAGATCAACCGGCTGCCGGGGAGGGAGTTCTCATGATATGTGAATTACCCCAAATCACTGAGAGTGTTTTTCAAGGTCTTGTCCGAGAAGCAAACTTGGGTAGAAGGAAGATTAAAATAGGTCCCCAAATTAGTCTGAGGGAAGTGGTGGCTTTTTTTTTTTTTTTTGACTGCAAAAATGTTAATGTTGTGTGAAGCTGCTGACTTTGTTATTTTTCTTTCTTGTGTGCAGCAGAACTCGGATCAAATAACACATCAGGAAGGAAGCAATTGAAGTTCTGTAGCTTATAAAACTGGTGGAGGAAAAAAAAAAATAAGGCTGGTCTATTTGAGTGTTTAAAGTTATGTTTTTAGATTCACTTTAGTGCAAAAAAAATTATTTATGATAGTGACATTTGTGCATTTCTTCAAAAGATGATTTTAGTTGTATTGTACGCGCTTAAAAAATACACAACATGGGTTTGTGTGTGAAATCCACAGATTTTTCTAAAGTGGTGTAAAATAAAAACCCTCTCCTAGGTTGTCAGGTCCTGGTCCAGGAGCGCTTCTGGCTGGAGGGCTGTTTGCGGTGTCCAGGCTCAGCTGGCAGTGGTGCATGGTGGCGGAGGTCTTCACCCTCAACAACCTCTTCGTCGGGCTTCTCTTCTTCTTGACCGCCAGCTTCCATTGTGCTGAAAACGCTGCACAGAGGAGAAAGGTGACATAATGCAACACTTAACTGGGATCTTTCCTCTCTTTATGCCTCAGATGTTTGAAAGACTTGAATTTGCTGTGTTGTTTTATGTCCCGGTCAGATTGCACATTTGGGCGCGTTCTGCTGTGGCTTGGGCCTCTGTAACCAGCACACCCTGGTTCTGTATGTGGTGGTCATCATTCCCTGGGTCCTTTATCGGCTCTACTCTCAGAAGGTAAGTACAAAATGACACACACTGAACTCATAGACGGTAAAATAGTCATTTATCTGAATACTTTTAATGTAAGTGACTTATGCAAGATGAAGAGTCTGGGAGCAATTTTTTCTGATGAAGATAAAAAAAGAAACGACTGTAAAAGATGTTGTTTGTTTGGCTCAGAAAATCAATTTTATCTGCAAAGAATAGTCTTTAAAATGCCTATTACTAAGGAAAAGGATGCACATATATTAGGGTTTTATTAATCTACACATCTTATTGCAATACCATCAATACTGTAGACACTTTCCAGACTCCTCTGACTGTTTTACATCCACTCAGAAAAACGTCATAACGTGACAAAAATCTCTTCCATGCAATTTACACAGGAACTGTCTGTCCGTGGCCTGTTGTCTCTGGGATTTTGTTTCCTCGCTGGCTTCCTGCCGTATATCTACCTGCCCATCTCATCCTACCTCAACACGGCCCGCTGGAGCTGGGGGGACCAGACCACCCTGTCGGGACTGCTCACCCACCTGCTAAGGAGTGAATACGGCACGTTCAGTCTGGTGCGTGCTGCTTGCATTCCTGTATTTTAATCTGACACGTCGTATTTACACACTTTAGGTGCTCTCATCTTATCTCGCATACTAATGTTTTTAGTTGTGCTCTTTTCCTTTTGCAGGCAAAGACTGAGAGCTCTGTGAACCTGACGACAATGCTACAGTAAGTTTGTGGAAACTGTCTTTTTTAAAAAGGTTTTGCTGTTGTTCACATTTAAAATATTAAACCCAGTTAGTTCCTGAGTCTGTACTTTAGCTTCACAATGTTTATTTATTAGTCACAGCTCTTTAAATTGTTGTTCTGGTCTGATTTATGCCACTTTTTGAAGTAATGTGGTCATTTCAAACCAATGAATTAAATACTTTTTTATTATCAGTTAATCTGTTGAGGAGTTTTCAGCTAACTCATTATGTGCTTTACAAAAATGTAATAAAATAGTAAAAAATGAGACCATTACTCTCCCAAAGTAGTGAATTCATAATGCCTGGGTTGTGCAATCAACAAGTTCAAAACCAAGATACTCAGTTTACAGTCAACAAAGACGAGCTGCAGCTGGAAACAACACATCTGGCATTTCTCCCTGACATATAACTGAAACCAATATGTGGTCATCAAACCCGCATTCAGGCGTCACTGATCTTCACTCTTCATCCACAGAGAACTTAAATGTCCGCTACATTTAACTGTGACATTTCTTTTTCATTCAGACAGTGGGGTCTAAGACAGAGTGAGGAAGAACCAGCGGGGGGGCGGATTTGATCTGAGGGCACATATGGGCCTAGAGATGGACGGCCCAACCGCTCTCTCCGCGATGGTTCTGGCGGTTTACACAGGTTTAACCACAGACACACCAATCTGCTATGAGAGCCCGGAGTCATTTGTGCAGCCCATCTCTTTCCTCTCCCCAGCAGCTTTTGTTCTTCCCATTCCACTCTCTCCCATCAAAGCAGAACTGAACCTGCTTAGAGGGCCAAATCGCTGTGTTCTGTTTCTCCAGCAGTTTGAAATGATCACTCAGCTCTGGTGTTTAAGCGTGACAAGCTGTGATGACAGACACTGCAATAGAGCTGGAGAAATTGTATTTTTCCACTCTAGCACCCCCCCCTCCACTCCCACCCAATTCCCTCCCTTGCTCCCCACTACCACCACCACCACCACCACCACCACCGCCACAGTCATCGTACTCCCGGTATCTTTCTCCAGCTGACGGGATGGGGGTGCGTTTGCGTCTTAAGACCCCCCACTACTAGCCCCCCCTCTGCCAGGCACCCACCCCTTCCCATCACCCCTGCTGCTTGATGGACAAGCACACCTTCAAGATGGGGAAGAGAGGCAAACATGACAGGCATGTCGCACTGGAGACGTAAACCCGCTGGAGAAGCTGCCACACACACCCACAAACACACGCTCGTGAGCACATTCACACATAGTGTACATTGGGAGATATAGAGACTCAATAAGCTGTCAAATAGAGATGGGTATTAAGGAAGAGGCAGGAAACTATCTCTCTGCTCTGAGCAAGCGCTCTGTGACTGACAGGCGCTGTGAGGAGAGGATGGGGCTGCGGGGGGTGGATGACACAGTCATTCGTATCTGTCAATCCGATTGAAAGGAGGAGCGCACAGTCCAAGGAGTTTGTTTTGATAGGGGATGGAGGGCATTTAATAATTGGTGTCCTTGAGTTCAGTAGCAGGGAGGGTAATTGAAGCTTGTCTTCGGTGTCCATCATAAATGCGTCTGTGTGTGTGCAGGGCCCAGTTGGACCACTGCCTGGCAGAACTTTCACCTCCTGTTTTGGCGCTGGCGGGAATCGGCGTCCTCCTCTCCTCGTGGGACAGGTGGGATGAGTGAGACGCCAGCAAGCGGCGCAGACCAAACTCTGTCACACACACACACATCTCAGCAGCCGCTTCAACCAAAAATCTAATCCCCCCGAGTGAAAGACAAGGAACAAAACCGCTGACAAAATGCTGATCTCAGAAAAAAAGAAGACAAAACAACACAGAGGCACCTAACTGTCAAGCTGTCACGCCGCTCCACATTCAGATCAAGAGGGGTTGATGTGCGTTTTGGATTTTCAAAAAACATGTTTGTGTGTGCAAGTAAATCACCGCTTGTACGTATGTGTTTGTGGCAGCGTGGCAGCGTGATCCAGTAATTCATTACAGTAGTGCCTTAGCTGGGGTCTGTGGGGTGGAGCAGATAAAGCCGAGTGATGCCCTGGAGCTCTGCAGGGCACCAGCTACTCCCTGCATCCCCCTCTCCTGAGGTGCACTTTAATAAACTTGGCTACATACACAAACAAATGAAGAAGAGCAAGGTCATTTCACAGAGTGCCAAAAGGAAACCATGTAAATGCTCATTCACCTACTGCTAAAAGCATAATTGTTTGTGATCAAATATATTGGAGCATTTTAGTCGTCAGAAATCAACATTGACTTTTTAACTATTGTGCTCATTATGAGGGGAAACATAAATCAAGGGCAGCTTGACTGAGTGTTAGTGGCCGGCTGATGGAAACCATCAAATCAATCTCTTGGCAGGAGAATTTATTCTGGCTTGAAAGTGTCTCTTCAGGTTCAGATGATGATTTGTTATTGCCATAAGGGTAACGTGTTTTCTTTTTAGTGTATAAGTACATTTTACAGCTGTACTGTAATGAGTTTGTGATTCAGCGGTTGGCACCGGCTCATTATGACTCAGTCAGCATTAGAAAATCAATCATGCACCTCTTAGCTGGCTGGCACATACATTTTCTCTCAGGCTTGTGATCTCCATCCCTGCATTAATATTTTTTACGGACTTATTCAAAACAAGCGTATTTTTATAGAGTAAACAGACAAAGTAATACATGCGAATAAATACATGGAAATAGCAGCCAGGAGTACAGAGCAAAATACTCATTAAGTGAAGGTGAGTAGAATACTTGTACAATAATAATAATAATGCTCAGTGGTTTCCTTTTTCTAGGACGTGCCGCTCCGTGTCCTGGCTGTTGACGGCCATGCTGATGCTCTACTCGCTGTTTTTCGCTTGGAGAGCCAACCTGGACATCAGCAAACCTTTGCTGCTCGGAGTGGTGAGCTACAAGACTTTAATGTATTTTGACATCTTTGTTTTCGTTCCCTGCAGCCGTCTAAAATTTGAATTATGATTACAATATATGAGGAGTGTATATAGACAGTACACACCCTGAAACAAAACCATGGAAACGGCATTACACACTGTGTGCACAGGTATCAGGCAGGTGAGTGTTCTGATCTTATCACTATTTCTATACACATGTTCCAACCCTAAGCTGTGTAAACGTCAATACTTATTGAATTGAAAGTGTTTATATTATGAGAGAGGCCTGAAAGGATTAACACCTTATATTATGGTGTGTATGATTATTAACCAGCTTCATTACGTCAGGTAAAACAGGTTAAAGAAGAAGTTTACCTGACATGGAAAACTAAAATTAGAAGATGTTTTGTGACCACTGAGCCATCAAAACTTCTCTTGTGAATAGTCAAATATGTTGCTTGGAGAAGAAAAGGCACAATAATAATTTGTAAGAGACTTTGGGGGATAAAAAAAATAAGCGTTAACAGAAACATTGCCTGATAGTGGACAGAAAAGTCAACTTGCTTCTGTCGTCTTGCATCCCCCACCAATTTCCACAGAGGGCAGGATTTAATCTTCCCCAACCACTCACTGGAGACCAACATGCTTGTTTCACTCGAGCTTTAACAGTGGAGCGGAATGGAATAAAAGCAATGTAAAGTTATATTGAGAAAATATGTTGTTGCTGTAAAGTATGTTTTCTAATGAAGGAGGGCATTTCAGATTTGTCTTCTTCTTCTGTTGTTATTACTCCTCTTTGGTTCCAGCACACAGCTTTGCAACAGCTCACCAATACCTACTGTGCCTATCTATCAATCAAATCAAATCAAGTTTATTGTCATTTTGCTGTATATACACAGTAGTACAGACAAGATGAAAGCGCTATCTATACCTGCTGGCTAACTATTAGTCCTTCCTCAGTGCTTACTAGGCCGATTCCTTGAACCACTGTTCAATTTTACAATGCCAGATGAATCAGTGACCTTAGTGGAGTGAAAAGATTCAAAGGTCTGAACACTATCAGGAGGCCCGCTAACCTCCAGTGCCACCATATTTCGGAACTGCAACTCCCTGGAGTGTCCAGAAGGTGTCAAGCGCTCGGACGCATGGCTGCAGTAGAGAACGCTGAAACACGACCACCACAGCAAGATTGTCACTTTGAAGCATCAAAATCAGGCCAAAAAATACCTAAAGACAGATTTTTTTTAAAGATTGTATAGAGAGAGGTGGAGATGGATGGGTCTGTGGCTGGATCACTAATGGTAACGGGGCACCACTTCCAGTGAGGTGACAGCAAAGTGGAGGAGTGGTTGTTTAATGAGCTACTGTCAGTGTGGTTGAGCTAGTTGAAGATCAGCCGTCAAACACACGGCCGGTTTCTGGAAGATACGAAAGAAGTCCACAGCATCCAAAAAGGCCATGAACTTTATTGCATCCAAATGCTTCACTGATTGGCTCAACACCGGGTCCACCTCCTCACCTGACTTCAATTCTGTTGAGAACTTGTGCGCTCTTCTCAAACATGATATTTACAGTAAGGAAAGACAACACATCTCTTTAAACAGTATGTAAAAAGCTCTGGTTGCTCCTTTGGTAGATGTTTTTCATGAACAGGTCAAGAAACTGTCAGACTCGATGGATGAAAGACTCATCGCAAAAAGAAAGGAGACAATAGTGGTCACTGAATATTTTAGAAAGTCCAAAAATGACTTGACTTTGTTGTTACACTAACTCTGAAAACTAAAAAATAAACAATTGAGTGGGAAGAACTGTTTTTGTCCTTTAGGTTTCTGATATCTGTGCACACTTGTATGTATTCCCATGACAAAGATGAAACCCACTTTTTCTTTGTTAAACATTCAAGTATGAGGTTCGGTAACATCTTGAATTGACTGAGGCAATAAACAGAAATAAAAGTAGTCCTGAGGAATGCAGTTTGCTAAATAATTGTGCAATTATTTGGATGCATTGATGCTGATGCTGGGTGGGATCCTCAGTAAACCAAACCGCACTCAAAATAAAACTATAGGAAACACTCTTGTGCATGTGTGTGTTTGTACGATGACTTCCTGCAGGTTGAGCGTTTCTGGCTCCAGAGTGACGCTGCGGTGTGTGTGCTGGCAGGCCTCGGCTTGAGCCGGACTCACACGGAGCTGGAGAGGAGGCTGGGCCATGGGGGGGTGTGGAAGACCACAGGCTGGCTCCTCACCGTAGCTCTGCTGGCACATATGGTGCACACCAATCACAGGTGAGCGCTGCACTCGGTGACAATAACAAAACTTGCTGTTGTTGGATGTGATGAAAACATACAGCGCAGCCCATAAATAGCAGGGCAATACTGTCGCATGCTTCTCATTGTTAGTCTAAAACACCACATTGGGTTTCAAATGGAGCAATGATTATGAGACTTAAATGCTGACTTTAAGTTTTTAGATTGTTGTGTTTGCCGCTCTAAGACTCACAGTCCTTTTTGCCCTTGGCCGAGATTTTCACTCCATGAGAATGAAGACGCCATCAAAGTGAGGCTAAGTCAGCATTCTAAACTTATTCCCATTGTTTCATTTCAAATCCACTGCTGTGTGCTGAGTATAAAGTAAAAATCCCTATAGTTCCATTTCCACTCTTGTAGATTTGTAGTTAAATGGCCCTGTTTTGTTCAGGCTGAGATGTAAATTCAGCTTTGTAACATCCAAATTTGCAGACAATTATAAAACTAATTGTACAACAGCAAAAGATTTTGATCACAGTGGACGTAATTATTGTAGCTGCATTGTGTTGCACTTCTACAGGCTATTAGTGATTCCAGCCTCTAATAGTGTTTTTGTGTCAGGCGGCTCTTGTTTTAGAGTTTCTTTTCAGTGAAGTGTGAAGTTAAATGCTTCTGCTTTGTAAAGTCTAAGTGAAATAAAAACTCCCCTCTTCGAGTTCCTTCTCAAATCCCCATGCGCAAGTTTTTTTCTGAGTCAACCCGATTTGTTTCTCCCCTGCGCTTCATACTGCAGGTCTGAACTCCACATGTCAGGTTTTTCTCTGCTCACCCCATGGTAGGGGCTAAAGAGAGGCACGGTTAGCACATAGATTCCACTCACAGAGCTCAGTCTGAGATGTTAGCTGTCCGAGAAGGCAGATTACACCGGCGTAGCGCTGGGGAGTGCCAGACAGCCATCACTGAGCGGCTTTGATCAAGGGGAGAGCATGGCCTGTGCTGTCAGACCCATCACACCTGTCTCCCCACGATTAGATAGGCAGCCAGAGCGCTCTGCAGAGGGGAAGGGGCGGGGGCACTGACAACTTACCCTCAGAGCACCTTGAAAGCATACCTACAAACACTCGCAGCTGTACACATCACACACACACACACACACACTTCTAAACAGGATGTGCTCAAACATTTCTAAACGCAAGTAAACACGACTTGATATTTTACAGTGCGATTGCGTATGTGCTGGTGATCCTAGGGAGTGTGATCAGAGCAGGAACAGTGTGGTGGAGAGGTTCGGCAGGGAGCTTCTGGCCTCCGTCCCAGCTGACTCCATCATCCTGACCAGAGGAGACCTGCCCGGAAACTCTCTGCGTTACTTACACTACTGCCAGGGTGTGCGGCCCGACGTACGCCTGGTCGACCAGGAGGTTTGATTTCCACTCTGTTGTCTGTGCTGAATGTAAAGCTGTTGTTGAAGTTTTTATGTTTGATGCAAGCCAAAGAATTACAAGCAAGACATTTTAATAATTAAGCCAGTACAGCAATTTTAGAATTAAACATGAACTGGAGATAAAATTCCCTCTGAACACAGTTAAAGGTCATTCAGTATTACAGAGTTCAGTATAAAAATACACACACTGACCAGAAGGATAGAGTTAAACTGACAATCGCAATTTCATTTAAGGCAAAACTTCTTCAGCTAGTTTTGTTTGCATCTCAGAAAAGACAAGATTTGGGATTGACGTTTTTCTTGATTGTTTTTTGGCAATTTATCTTCATGATAATTGACTGAAATTAATTTAAAAATTGCAGCTTGAAGTCCAGAAGTCTCTCGTAGGTTTTCTGAGTGTAGTCCTGCATCGATGCTTGTACACCATACAGTCACAATCATTAAGGGCTTGCAGACAGAAATGTAAAGAAAAGACAACTTAAGACAAAACACCCTCCTGTAGTAGCCTTACATATGTATTAAATGCCCCCGAAACGGTCGAGAAGTCTTTCCCTTTAAGCGAACTCCACACTAGTAATTCTTTCGCTGCTAATCCACGGGATATAAAGATTTGAACTTAGCTGGTGGTACTCTTTTCTCTTACTAGATGATGACATACACTTGGTATGTGGCCAAGCTGGCGCAGCACCACCCTGGGGTCCACTTTCCCGGCCGCTGGTGGGATCCGGTGCACCCTGAGGAGAAAGACACCTTCAGCCTCGAGCAGTTTCTGTCTCACAACCCGCAGTGAGTCTCTGAGACACATGGAGGGAGCGGAGAGGGAATAAAGGGATGGTCTGAATAAATAGAAGGATGTTAAATGGAGAGAGAGAGAGAGTGAATTGGGAGGGCAACAATGGTCCAAATGAACAAGTGGGTGATCTAATGAGGCAGAGATCAGTGGGATGGTAGACTCAGCGGTGAGTGCAGGGAGAAGATAAGCCCACAGAACTGTTGAGGCCATAAAAGGAGTTTGATGAACTACAGAAGTCGACTAATCTACTTGATTTGGTTAAACAGTCTCTGGCGGACTCATTGCTGCTCCCTGCTCTCATGATTCGCTCCTCCAGGAGGAACTGAGACCCAGAAACTGGATGGTGCTTTGGTAATGCCAAGCCCACCAGGGGGCAGTGTTTGCCAGGACAACATGTCTGTCTCTCAGTGGGGCAACACTGACCTGTGGGATTAACCCTGAGGGTCTGTGAGTGGCACAGGGCTGAAGGGAAGCTAGAAGGTGCTGGGACGTGAGGACGTGTTTGTCTGCTTGGTTTTCTTGTGCATCTCTTCATCAACAGTTACCTGAAAAACCTGAAGCGAGCCTCTGTCTGATTGTTTGTGTGGTTTTGTGCAGGAGGGATGTGTTTGCCTGCATCGGGCTGCCTGATGGAGACCTAAGCTGGGAGCGTAGTTTCTCTCGCTGGCCCTTCGGTGTGTGCGACTACTTGGTGCCGGTTCAGAGGCGGTTTCACCCTGAACAGTGGGCTCATCGCACTCGAAACATCTACAACTGGAGCGAACCGTACAACAGGTGCACACGCAAACACAGGATCAGTTCACTCTGAGCTCCCCGTCCTATGAAATTAATATATTATTGTTGTCATTTTACACACATTTCCATTTGACAAATCAGATGTCTATAAATTTCTTTGTGATCTTAATCTGAACATGAATTTGAGACGACTAGTTCACACCAGAGTCAGTGAGGTTTAAGGGGTTAAAAATGATCAAGGTGTCGTTTTTTGTTACGCAGCTGTTTGGCAAGAAATTACACAAATCTGTTGGTTAAAAAAAAAAAAATCCCCTCGCTGCCTTTTCTCTCTGTGGTCTTGAGTCATCCTTCCGCAGACTCCACAGAACTTCCGTCAGTGAGGTTGTCCTCTGTTCTCCATGCTGTGATCCAGCTCTTTGTGAATTCAACCAGAGCAAGACATTAGGCCCTCAGCCATTTGAAATGAGACTGAAGATGAAAAATAATGAGTTTCTTATTGCGTTTTGTCAATAACTGTGTCAAAAGTGGAATTAGTCAAAGCTCCATATTCTGTTGCTGTTGCCAGCAGCCCTTCATTCACTCAGATATCCACGGCTGAATACTGTGACATTATTTCCCGCACCCTCACGACAAGCGTGTCCGCCGATGCCCACAAGCCAAATATTAGCTCGGCAACCCTGCTAAAATATTCTTTTGAAGAAGAGGTCAAGTGTTTACAGTCAACAAAGTGAAAAAAGGCAAATGTGGTTTTACTCCATGTCTAATGTGCTCGCTGGTATTGTTGCTCAGTCATTTAGTGTTTATGCAGCAAACATTGATGTTTAGTGCATCAAAAACCTGCACAGTTGAGTGGAACAATATATTCACATAAATAATCATTTATAGTTAGTGGAACTGTGCATAACCCAGTGCCTGAAGGTGCTTTAGATAAAAAAATGTTTCTTTCTCCACATATGAACAGTTTCCATGCGGCATCCTGGGAGCGCGTCGCTAACGAGGAGATGTGGCAAGCCAGGTATGTGAAACGTTTCACAGGAGACGTGCCTCTGCTCTTTGAAACGGTCGTATACTTCAGCGTTCAAACAAAAAGCTGCGTCACGATGCATACTGCCCCGCTAGAACATCTCCATAAACCAGTCTTGTGTGGTAGAGCATCTACATGTACATTCTATTTGGTGGCGGCATCTACATAAATCACTCCATTGGAGTGGTGCGTCTGAGAGTGTGGATCTGCATGGCTCATCCATCCAGCACTTAGCCCTGAGCCTGCGTGCTTTGTTTCAGGATGAAGACGGCTTTCTTTCTGTTTGACCTGGCAAACAGGATGCAGGGAGAGGACAAAGCTCGCCTCTTTGAGCTGTCTTACACTGTGAGTCTGACCTCGACAAACATGCAGCTACACTGTCGTTTACCACGATGGGGGCAGATTTAGTCCCATAAAGTATGACATATTCAGAGGCTTTTTGGTAATATCTGTTTTTGTGTGTGTCTCTATGTCTGTCTGCTGGGCAGCTGTATAAGGAGATTGTAGGGGCCAACTCAGACTACCCGCCAAACTGGGACAAGAACCTGGCACTGGCTTGTGAGAGGCTGCTCTACTCAGGTCACCGGGGCTACAGTCCAGACAGCCTGCTGACCTGCAGCGCCCAGCACTTTAGTCTCTACTTAGAGAAGGAACCCACTGATCCCCAGGCACCCGCCATACGCTCGGCCATTACACACCTGCTCAAAGAGAGAGACAGGCTCCGCCACAGCCGGAAGCAAGCGCCATGATAACATCCAGAGGGACGGACGTGGAGCTGGCAGACTGAGAATGCGCCGAAGAGCAGGGCTCTGGGAATCAAGTCCGAGCCAGTGTGCCTCTTCTTGCGGTGGTCCTCCAGAAGGATACAGACTAATGCGGTGTTGTTTGGTTTGGCTAAAAACACTTGGCCAAATTAGATCCATAAGTCCTGCAGTCAAGTTATTAAACTACAACGTCCACTGTGTTGAGACGACATACACTTTGCACTTGATGAATGTTTACAGTGGACCAGGGACAGAGCTTGACTTCAGGAAGCCTTGACTGACCTCAATCTAGCTCTGCGTGCTCCCCTTAAACTCACCCATTCAATTGCTTTATCGTTGCATCTCGTTCTTTCTCCTCTCCTATTCTGCTCTCAGAGCTTTTAACGTGCTGATTATTTTGCCTCAGCCTCTGCTCCACTTCTCTTTTTCTCACATTAGGATGGCAGGGCCGAGATTGAGGGAAACCCAATTTGGGGGCAGAAATGGGGGATTAGAGCAGCTGTTTAATCTAGGACAGACTTGCGCTGTGCCACGCAGTCCTCGCTGCACATCAACAGCACCCACCCACCCCTCTATCCTTCCATCAGTCTATCTTAGATGGTCCTTTAAATGTTTAAAACTAATGGATTCGATGAGTGTTTTTTTTCCCCTCTCTTCCTTCCTAACAGGAGGGCTATAATCCCTCATGGATTTAAATGAAATGTGAAATGTCACAATGCCAGGGACCCTTTTAGAGGTGCGTCTGTGTGTGTGTGTGTGTGTGTGTGTGATTTGTGTTTGCATGTGTGTGTAAACATGCTTAAATCTCCACTCCAGCCCCGACAGAGCCGCACATAAACGTATTCGATAAATAGATCGGCTCACTGAAAAGCAAAATGCTTTGATCATTAGAGAATCACAAAGTCATGCAAACTCCAGGGACATATGTAGAAACGTAACTCGCAGGAAAATGGACTTCTAGCTTTGTGAGCGTTGGAGAGAAAGGGTGGCAAACGAACCACAGTGGACCAGGGATTCACCCTCTCGTGTCTTTGTCTTTCTTTGACGCGTTCTCAGGATCTGACACCCCAGTTACACACTGTTTTTGTAAATGTTAGTGTTGATGTTAATGAGCCTTGTGCCATGAAATTTGTTATACAGAGGTCAAAGCAGCACATTGCCATAAGCTTTATAAAACACTGCTGAAGCTGCCTGCTGTTTGAGATACCACTCGAAAGCGAAGGACAGTAAGTGCATGTGTAGTTTTCTCAGAAAGTAATCTGCCCTCTCTGTTCGCAGGCCTGGTTAGCGGCTGTCAGCTGGCTGGATGATGAGGTTCGACCTGCTGTAGCACAGATGGTTCGGTTTCTCATAAAAAAAAAAAAAAAGGGAAAACTGTCACTCTGCTTTCTACAGATTAAAATATTTCAATAAAGATTTGTTTTTTTTAATAGACTTTCGTGCCCTTTTTTTGCATTTTTGGTCAGAAAAGTTGTTTTTTCACACCACAAGTAAATTAATCGTTTGTGAATATATATTTTATTTTACTTACATATTGCTGTGTTTTCATGTTTACCTCAGTTATCTGCTGCCACTCGTCTCATCCCCTCGTGTTGTCTTTTTTTTTTTTTGCTTTACTTTCTTCCTGTCCTCCCTTTTGTCATTCCTCTCTTGTCTCCCGCCCTCCCTCTGCCTCCCATCCCCTCTCACACTGTCTTTCCATAACCCCTCTGTTCCTCTCCTGTCCCCGGTTTCTGACAGTCAGTTTGCCCACCCTAAATCAGCAAGCTGCCGAGGATTGTGGGAACCCATGGAATCGCCGTGACCAGGGATGCAGGCAGGGAGCCACGGCAACGCTGGAATGTGGGGCGTCTGAGGAGATAAGAGCTGTGAGCCCAGCCAGGGAGAAGGGGAGGGATGCAGCGGGAGAGGAGCGAGCGGAGGGGTTGAGGAGGGGGGGAGGAAGAGTGTGAGGAGGGTGAGACGGAAACAGGGAGAGCAGCAAGTCTGTGAATGGGGGAGACAGAAACACAACACCATAAACAGCAAGAGAGCAAGACAGAGTGAGACAGAGAAAGAGGGGCGGGGGACTTAGGGGGGCACACACTGGAGATGGGAAGCCAGCCTTATTCCTCTTTGCATTTCATTTACATCCCTGGCCGTATCGACCAATCGGATTGGGAGCAAAGCCCAGGGCTTAGGAGGGGAATAAAAAGACAAAATGCCTTTGCTGCTCTCATCCCTCCCTGATAATACCCCTTCTGTTTTTCTTTTCTCCTTTTCTCTCGTCTATAAGTAGATACTGTCCGAAATGCCAGCGGAAAAGCGACACCTCCGCTTGCTGTGTATCTCAGATAGACCGAGCGGGAGCAGGGGCTGAAAAGACAGCTTTAGCTACTGGGCCTATCTCCACTCCTCTCTCTGGCTGGATGGAAGCTTGGAGTGGAGGGAGGCGGAGGGCTGGGGTGTGTTGGTTAGTGTTTGGGAAGAGAATAGAGGGTGTGAGAGGCATGATATACTGAGCTGGCCACAGATTTTGCAGAATCTTACACTCTGGAAAAACTTTGCCTGCAGATCCCTTTCCTAAGCATGAGAAACCTGTTTCAAGGATGTTTACCAGGTGCCACCCATATGTGGAGGGTGCCAATGCCCTCCACCAAACTCCACACATATTTTTAGCTTGGGATTGCTGTTATTCCACTACTGTATGCCACATTGCAGCAGCAGCAGCAGCAACTTCTGTCAGCTGCTTGATTGTTACATCTTATTTAACAACAGATTTGCAGCACGTTGGAGCCTTGGTTTCGAACGTCTCTTGACACGTGTAAAGCAGTTGTTATTGTGGTTAAATTAAATGTTTTCCTCACCCCGTCAGTGTGTATTGGGTAGAATTAGGCCCATTAACGTCAGTCTGTGTTGACATGACACCGTGATTGAGTTGTCTCAGGTTTTTTGTTTGCCGTCTCTTGATTTGTGTGTTTCCCAGCGTGTGGTCGCCGGTGTTCGTCTGTCAGGTGCAGTAGTGTGTTTGCCGGTTTGTTGAGTTTATTTGTACAGATGTTTGCAGTGCTCTCCATTGTGTTACTGTTTGTTATTTGGGTTACTTTGTCGTGCCAAAATGGTTGTTTGCAAGTGTCCTCCCTGTATTTAAAGGACTTTGCCATTGTCTTCGTGCTCACCTCTTTGTGTAGGTGCACCTAGACTATTGTGCTGCTGCTGGATCCGCCGCCGCTGATATGCAGCTTATCGAACGTGACTCTTTTTGTCGAGATGAGAGTTCATCTCAGTTGGCGTTTGTGGCAAAAATTTCAGACACACAGAGGATCCTTTACCTGCCTGCAGCAGACGCCTGTGAGTGATAAGGTCACCTTAGGCCCCTGTGTGGACCCCCCCCTCCACCTTCACAGCATCCTCATCCTCCTCAGCCCACACAACCTCTCCCCTATAGTAAATCAAACCAAACAATAGTGGCAGATATCGGAGGGATTAGAGGTCAGGGGGTTGGGGAATGCGACATCTCTATTTCCAGGATCAATCTTCAACTGCTTGGTAATCTCAGGCCCCGGGCCCCACATACCTCCAGTGGTCTCTCTGCCTGGGAGATGGCATTGCCAGGCTGTGAGGGCTGGTGCTCCTGCTAGGTGTGTGGTGCTGATAGCATGGTGGGGGGATGGAGTCATAACCTGATGGTGTGGATGGATGGAGGGGCAGAGGGAGGAATAACAATAGCTTCTCACTCTGTATCCTCACCTTAATCCCCGCTGACAGATGTGCTAATGCATGTGTATGTATGTACATGGGAATTCTTCAGCGTGTGTCTGTGTGTGTGTACACATGTCCATAAAGTTAGTTTTAATCTGTAAATTTGTAAATGCGAAATAACTTTGAGTTCTTCAGAGCAAACTGAATATTATCCCCAAGTTCCCGTTGTTATCTTGTGTACACACATTTGTTTATTTGATACAGCCCCTCTCCACTACAGCACTTCTGTATATCAAAGACAGCAGTGCAGAGCGTAATTGAAAATGGCTACCGTGGAGAAAGGTCTCTCTCTGCTTTGACTGAGAAGAGGCAGAAAAAGCCCCATTCTCCGCTCCCTTCTTAGATCTATTTAAATAATTGAGGAGTAAACTGACAAATTAGGCACCTTTATGGACGCCCCTGGGCTCTCTCTGGGGTCCTTCACTTTCCCCAATACAAGAGAGCGCCACTGGGCACGGGATAATATCTCTGTGTGCTTTGAGAGGGAGGAGGGGGGGGTAGTGGGCCAGGAGGGGTTTCGCCAATCAAGCGGGCCACACTTCCTCCCCCAGGTTCTAATTTTGTGCCACATTAAAGAGCTCGGCCTCCATTTAGGACACAGAGAGGCATTTTCATAATTTGCCGGGTCTCTCGACTAGCTCGGGGTGCCTTTTTTCCGTACTCTCTTGCCTCTCTCTCTCTTACTCAGTATCTGAATGGAAGGCCTGGGGAGGAAGAGGGGTAATTCATTCGTCTCCTTTCAACCAACCAGCTTCAGTTCTGCATAATGTTGCTGCTAGGTGTGTATAGCAGCTAATATTTATCTCTTTAATAATTCTCCGTTAGACCTGAATATTATTTCCCTTATAAAGCTAACACTGCTCATTGTTAGCTCTGCATAGAAAAAGTGTCATTCATGTTTTGTTGATCCATTAGGGCTGATTCCCGGGCCTATGTTTAGCATCCTGAGATGAGTTCAAGACTATGGTGGATATAATCTGAGACTGTGCAGCCATACAGCCGCGACTCTTGATAAAATCTGCGATGTGGTATACATACAATAGATAATCTAGGTTAAAGTTGTTTCGTTTCTTCCTGCTGACACCATCCATTCATGTGCTACAGCATGCGTAAGCATTGATTCATATGTGATTGGTCACATAATTCACAGTCTCAGGGGGCATTTCATCGCTGACAGACAAGCTAATCTAAAATCCCCCAATTTACAAATGAAAATCCCACCATCCAATTGAGCTAATAGAGGGACTTGAATGGGATAATAAGATGTGGTGTAATACTGTGTAAAAAGCCTGTAATGTTGTGTTGGTGTAAGAGCCTGTGTGACTGGATGTTTGACTGTTTGCAGTGATTACAGGGGCCTGCGGGCCTGGCGGCGGCTCCGTGGCTGGGACAGGGAGCTTCTCCCTGGGCAAGGAGATACGCCTGTCTGCCCCTTCTGCTGGAGCTACAGGGATCAGGATGTCAGGAGGGAGAGTGCTCCCTGTGAGCGCTCTCTCCCTCTCTCTCTCCCTCTTTCACTCTCTTTCACTCTCTGTCTCTTCCTGTATGTGTCTCTCTCCCTCTCGTTCCCGGTCTTGCTGGGTCTGTACTATTGCAGTGCTTGCAGATGTGCACAAACAAGGGAGGATTAAAGCAAAACGAATCTAAACAGACAAATGGAATTAGAGTGATGGGTGTCGGTGGGCTGGTTCACAGTGATAAACATAATGATGCTCTGTATGTGTGTGTGTGTGTGTGTGAGTGTGTGTGTTCCTGTGTCTGGGGGATTATCAGTGGTTAGGTGTGTGGTGTGTATGGCTGGGTGACTGCTTCTGGGTTTCTTTGTGTGTTTGCCTATCTGTCTATGTTTTTGTAATTATGTGTGTGTATATTTACTCTGTCTCTAGTTGTGTGTTTGATAAATGAGTTATTCCATATTGCCTCACAAAAACAAGTCTCTGCGCCCTCTGCATGTCTGTGGATATGTTTCTGTGTTTTTGTCAGGGTCATAATTTGTTCTTATTGTTTATATTTGTACTGCTGGTTTCACCTGCGTGTGTCTGGCAGACATCACAACTCTTCAGCCACGCTAGAAAGATGCTAACACACCATTTGTGAATCTGGAATATGAGGCTGTAAAACTGATCTGGAGCAGCGTTTTTTGCCACTTATGTGTAGATGTGTTGTCTTTTTGTGCCAGGGCTCTGTGTGTTTATGTGCTGAGGAGGTCAGGAGTGTGGAGGAACCAGCAGGGGGGCAGCGATCAACAGTCTGGGGCTCCCCTGCAGAGGGGCTCTGGGATTAGGGCTAAACCCTGCCCTGCCAGATGGGCACAACACATCCCCAACATCGCACACCAGAACCAGCACCTTTAGGACTGCTCTCGCCCTGCCCCCCCCTCTTTCTTCTGTGGAAACCATTCAGCTGAAACTGGAGGTTAATAAAACGACACGATCACATTCTGTGTTAAATTCACTCAGTGTTTTTCATGTTAAAGAAATTCTTTATTTCATTTGAGTCTGTATTTGTGACATCAACATTGACACAGATCAGCTAACTAAATGAGACATTTGTGTTCAGAGCAGGCGGTGTTTTAAATATATATCACTAACCATCTTTTCGCAGGACGTCAAAGAACGGCAGCAGGAGACGAGTGAGACGAGCTGCTCTTCAAAGTGTCAGGTAGTGGACAGTATGGCCAGTC